TTCAATTTGAGAATTATTCTCATGGTCTCTAAATGGAAAATCATTAGATATTATGGACCCTTTCAACTAAAAGTGTAAATTACCGAGGAGAAACTAAGCTACAAGACCTCTCAGAGAAAAAAAAAATCTAGCAATTTTCTTGTTTCTTCCTATGTAATGGAGCACTAAGAAAGAGATCAATGCAAATAGATTCCCTCTGTAGCGTCCCTTGTCTGAAACAGTTTTCATCAACTGCCACAATAAACAGCCAACACTGATCACAAATAAATCTGAAACATGAATTAATATCTCGAAGGTTTGAAAAACTATGCAGCAACAAACTCTTCCTTCCCACTGAAAATTAAAGAGAGTTTACAATGTACCACCTTTTTCCCTTATAAACTGTGTTCCGTGAGATAAAAACTGACGACGAACTTCGCAGGGTTTCGACTACTGATTCGTTTGGACATTGATAAAGATAAATGTGCTGCATTTCACCCCCATGAATCCTAATGGCACCTGCAGATGTAATCATTGGGGGGAGGAGGTACATAAACTGATGTAATATTTTAAGGGGTCATGGTGTTACACTATGTGAACATAAGTCTACTAAAGGTGAACCATTCTAAATGTTAATAATATATTTAGTAAAAAACGTACACAAAACTATGATTTTGGTCGTTGTTGTATATAGGTGTGAAAATTTATCTCTGACATTAACCACATAACAAGGACAGAGGATGTTTGAGAATAGGGAGCTCGGCAGAATTTGAGCACCTAAGAAGGATGAAAGTAACAGGTGGCCTGAGAAAGCCGAACAATGAGGACTTATCCTTGCCAAATATATTTATGATATCAAATCAAGGATTAGATGCGTGCTGCACGTAGCATGCATGACAAAGACACATGCCAACATCAGCTCACTCCCTTTTATAGAAATTTGAATCTCTTGACACCCTGACAACTTCATTCCTTAAATACTGGCTTAACTTTTAAGACAGTCCGTGCTTATTAGTTATACAATAATAGGCATCATTTACAATTAAAAATGATTTAATCATAAAAAGTTGTTCCCCCTTAGTATCAACCATGAATGTCACTTTTTACTTAACAGTGCTGTCTGGATTAAGACATTTTGATTGGCTTTGGACAAAACAAAATATTTGAGACTATTTATGTTTCATCCAATTTGGACTACACAAACTATAGGTGTTGTTGCAACAAAACCCATTCAGGAATTCTTCTGGGTGATAGAATAAAAACCTTTAAAATGGTCGCCATTGCTAAAGAGGCAAGTAATTCTGCTGTACCAGCCAATGGGTCCCCTTCAAAAAGGACTTCAGCTGTTGCTGGATCCACTGCACCAATGAGGCCTTCATATCTTCCCCCAACCCAAAATGTGACTGTTTTCATTTGAATAACCCCCATTAAAATGTGAAAAAGCTACTCCTGTGCTTCATTAATTAACCACCACTCTATCAATACATCCTCCTCTGCTTCAGTGATTGGGTAAAATTGTGCAACCTGCGCTCCTGGGTCCATCAAATTCTGGAGTCTAGATCTGCAGAAGCGTACAGAGATCAAATCAAAGATATTTTGAAGTTCATAGCATTTAATAATATGAGCCGGGATAGCTGAGCTGGTATAGCAACTGGCTACGGGCTGGATGACCGAGAGGTCAGAGTTCAAGTCCCAGTAGGGCCAAGAATTGTCACTTCTCCATGTTGTCCAGACCGGCTCTAGGGTCCACCCAACCTCCTACATAATGGGTACTGGGGGTAAAGCGGTAGGGGCATGAAGCTGACCACTCACCTTCAACTATGGCCAAGGTCAAGAAAATGTGGATTTATGCACTCCCCCATACATCTTCATGGCTTAGTGCTTAATTAGGGACAACTTTACCTAGCATTTAATAAAATAAATATTGCGGTACCAATTTTCTTTCTATCTGCTTTTCAAGGCACCCTGCCCAAAAAAACGTAATTTGTCACGTTATGTGTTGACTCACGCAGAACTATTTCTTTCATCAATACAAGAACAAGCTGGCAATTACATGGGTCCATAAACTGCAGATAAGGCAATGATGTCACAGCCAAGTTCTTAATGGTTCATGTTAAATCTAAGTGCATTGACCCATAATATGTTTATTTTAAAATGTTATATTTAGGTTTGCTACAGTCAAGCTATTCCAAAAATAATCACTTTGAGATTGGCCAGCCCCTCTCTTCACAATTTGGACCAAGGAGTTCCTTGCAAAACTCATACAACATGTTTCCCATTGCCAGACTTCCTGCCCTATGAATACTATTCTGACATGCTGTATTTTGGTGAAGTAAGTTTCTAACACAATAAATTGTAATACAACACAGGGCTCAGCACTGCCTCATTCATCATACCGAATCCAGTGCCAAATACATTTATTGCTTCCATCTATAAATATATTACAGACTGGTGTTTATTTATTTAGTGACTTGCTGTCAGTCAGTATAGTGATCAGGCTATGGGCTGGATGACTGAGGAGTCGGGGTTCGAGATTTTCTCTTCTCCATAACATCCAGGCTGGCTCTGGGGCCCACACAGCCTCAGTTAAAATTGGCGATGGGAGGGCTGCTTCCCCAGGGTAAAGCAGCAGAAGCATGAAGCTCATCACTCACAGTCTATTACCAAGGTTAATAATGGTGGAGCTGTATCTCCAATCCCCAATACGTCTTCATGTCACCATGCTCAATTAATTAAGCCCTGGGATAACTAATCTGGTATACAGATGGTTCCAAGACAAATAAATGCGCTGGAGCTGGGCGGAAACTAGTTTCGGCCTTCATCAGTATACAACAGTATTCAGGCAGAAGTGTATGCCATTAAGGCATGCACTATATAGAAACTACAAAAATAGGAATATCTATATTCTATCAAATAGTCAAACTGCAATCAAAGCAGTTGGTACATATCAAATCACTTCAAAATTGGTTTGGGACTGCCACCAATCCCTCATACAACTAGCCAGACATAACAGAGTTCAGCTGATCTTGGGTGCCAGGCCATGGGGGTATTGCTGGGAATGAAACCGCAGATCAGCTGGCAAGAACAGGACCTGAACCAGCTTGCGGCATCTCAGTAGGAGAGTATTGCTGGGAATGAAACCGCAGATCAGCTGGCAAGAACAGGACCTGAACCAGCTTGCGGCATCTCAGTAGGAGAGTATTGCTGGGAATGAAACCGCAGATCAGCTGGCAAGAACAGGACCTGAACCAGCTTGCGGCATCTCAGTAGGAGAGTATTGCTGGGAATGAAACCGCAGATCAGCTGGCAAGAACAGGACCTGAACCAGCTTGCGGCATCTCAGTAGGAGAGTATTGCTGGGAATGAAACCGCAGATCAGCTGGCAAGAACAGGACCTGAACCAGCTTGCGGCATCTCAGTAGGAGAGTATTGCTGGGAATGAAACCGCAGATCAGCTGGCAAGAACAGGACCTGAACCAGCTTGCGGCATCTCAGTAGGAGAGTATTGCTGGGAATGAAACCGCAGATCAGCTGGCAAGAACAGGACCTGAACCAGCTTGCGGCATCTCAGTAGGAGAGTATTGCTGGGAATGAAACCGCAGATCAGCTGGCAAGAACAGGACCTGAACCAGCTTGCGGCATCTCAGTAGGAGAGTATTGCTGGGAATGAAACCGCAGATCAGCTGGCAAGAACAGGACCTGAACCAGCTTGCGGCATCTCAGTAGGAGAGTATTGCTGGGAATGAAACCGCAGATCAGCTGGCAAGAACAGGACCTGAACCAGCTTGCGGCATCTCAGTAGGAGAGTATTGCTGGGAATGAAACCGCAGATCAGCTGGCAAGAACAGGACCTGAACCAGCTTGCGGCATCTCAGTAGGAGAGTACTGCTGGGAATGAAACTGCAGATCAGCTGGCAAGAACAGGACCTGAACCAGCTTGCGGCATCTCAGTAGGAGAGTACTGCTGGGAATGAAACCGCAGATCAGCTGGCAAGAACAGGAACTGAACAGCCGTTCACAGGACCTGAACAAGCTTGTGGCATCTCAGTAGGAGAGTACTGCTGGGAATGAAACCGCACATCAGCTGGCAAGAACAGGATCTGAACAGCTGTTCAAAGGACCTGAACCAGCTTGCGGCATCTCAGTAGTAGGGTATTGCAGGGAATGAATCCGCAGATCAGCTGGCAAGAACAGGATCTGAACCGGCCTGTGGCATCTCAGTAGGAGAGTATTGCTGGGAATGAAACTGCAGATCAGCTGGCAAGAACAGGATCTGAACCAGCTTGCAGCATCTCAGTAGGACGGTATTGCTGGGAATGAAGCCACAAATCAGCTGGCAAGAACAGGATCTGAACAGCCGTTCAAAGGACCTGAACCAGCTTGCGGCATCTCAACTGGAGTTGCCAAGAAAGTGGTCAGGGACTGGACTAACAGAAATCACAAAAAACACTGGGAATCCACAACTGGACTCAAACAGGCAAAAGGATTTATATCAGGACCCTCTGCCAATAGAACAAGGGACCTGTTAAAATTAAACAGAAATCAATTAAGATGGGTGGTAGGATTACTTACTGCCACCTAAAAGGACACCTTTCCAAACTGGGACTGACGGAGGACCCAGCATGTGAGAGGTCCCTACAAGCAGATGAATCAGCCACACACATCTTATGTGACTGTGAGGCTGTAGCTTACTTAAGATTTTGCCACCTTGGTCAATTCTTCATGGAACCAAGTGACTTTCATGATGCCCCCATAATGAAGTCCTACATTTTATTTGAAGTGTAGGATTAATTAAGAGTTAATCCAAAGGGGAAGCACAATAGATCATCGAAGGTCATGCTGCAAGGGCCGGTTTTTATGGCTTACCCCTCATACTCATACTCATGATGAAATGCGAATCAGGTGGGAAAACACACAATACCGACAGATGTGCAGTGAGGGAAAAGGTTTAATGCACATGCTGTAAACTAACAGAGTGATTCTGAACTGAAATATGGGCCTACGTGACAGGAGACATTTACCTTTTCCTGCGTGGCTCATCTCCGTATCCTCCATATTGCTCTGCATGGTTCTGCAACAAAAGAAAAGAAACATAAAACATCTCAGAGTATGTGTGTCATCAATGTAGATTCTTGCATTATTAACACAAAGTCACTAAATTCTATTTTCAATATATGATGGGAACCAATGGCCTCCCTTTATGCCAGAAAGTTTCCTGGTACTCATTTCTGTTAGAGGCTGAGTCGACCCCAGGGCCATATTGTGGTTGGAATGGGTCAAGTGAAAAATCCAACTTCATTGGGAATCGAACACATGACCTTCGGGCTTGTAGCCCAGTGCCCCATTAAATACCGAATATCAATAACGCATATACTCGTACATAGGAACAAACAGAATTCCAAAAACCGCTTTCCATATTTATGAGACAGGATAGCTCAGTATAGCTACTGAGCTATGGACTGGACCACCAAGGAACCGGGATCAGTAGATTCCTGGCAGGGGAAAGAGATTTGTTCTTCTCCACAGCATCCAGAACGGATCTGGGGCCCGCACAGCCTCCTACATATGAAATGGGTATCGCGGGTCTGTTTACCCAGGCACAAAGCGGCCGATGCGTAAGACTAACCACTTGCCTCCATATAGTGTCAAGGTTAATGGCAGAGCTATACCTTCAATGCGTAGTGCCTAACTGGTTAAAATACCTTTAATTTCTCGTATTCAGGATGGGAAGAGGGTAAATGACAAAATCCTGCATTTCATATTTTTCATGATCACAGTTCTTTTTCGTGCTGGATTTATGGAATGTAAAAATGTCAAAGCACATAAAATCATAACGTGTTTAAAATTGAATGGTTTCTTTGTAAAACGTTGTTCCATTTAAAAAACACCATTTCTGCCGCACCCTGTTACCTGATTCACGGAAATGTGCGAACCTGGAATATTCGGGAAATCACCGAGTAAGAAGATATATCGAGGTGCAATGACGAACAAACGAAAGCACTCCGTTACTAGTACTAACTCCGTGGCCTCTAGTCCGCAAGCGGAATATACCGACCGAGCGACCGCCGCTTGTCGGCCAAGTTAGTGTCAACTTTAGCGGATAGAGGGTGCAATGTGGTCGGTGCAATGGATCCCCACGGCCGTTAATCTCGGTTTTCTAGACCGGAGCCCCTATTTCCTTGAAAGAGCTCCTCAATTATCCTCATGAGGCTGAGTGGACCCCGTTCCGGACCCACTACTTCTCAGAAAATCTGGTAGCGCCGGGAATCGAACCAGGGAGCTCTGGATCTGTAGCCATGAACTCCGACCACTAGACCACAGAGGCGGTCGCTACTGGTACTACATCTGCCCTGATGATGAAATAAGAAATTCGGAATCAGAACTTCACACCGGAGCTAGAAACATATCTCAGCACGTCCGGAATATGTTTTAATCTGATGTACCGAAGAGGACACGCGAATAAAATCAACAACGATACACTGCACAAGGGCCGCAATCCATCATCGTGTAAGTCGACAGCCAGCACACCAAGAATGACAAACACACCGTGCTGCTCCTATTTTAACTTGGCAAGACATGTGCTCCCACAACTGTTTCTTTTTGGAGGGAGAGGGTGAACAGAACCCAACGAAAATGACGTGTTTCATTCTGAAATGTTTGTCAAAACTCGCGTTATCCCAATAATGTAATAGCCGCAGAGACCTATACGTTATTAATTACGGCTATGTAATCACAATGACAAATTAGCAAGTTAATATCTCATCGTGCTCCGAGTGGCATCAAGTCTCGCTGGCACGCTCTGATGAATATTCGTGTGGCAGAAAATTGGCTCCAGGTAAATCGACCGTCGCCTGCAGAAGGCCTAGATCATCAAACTGCTGCTTGCTATCGAGTTCTACATATTATTCAGTCGCCGTCTTCCTAACTCGACATCACCGGCAGGACTTAATCTCCTATTCGTTTCATCGCACAAGCCGAATGGCATTCGCTGTTACGATAATTATGAGATGTCCCAGTGGCTGCGCTGTGTAAGAAAAACTCGAAAGCTGTATCTCCGGTTAACAGGGCATCATAAGTGTTCACGGTAACGAAGATCCCGGGTTATGACAAAGTGCGCTGGTATTAATAACGATTCAACCCTCTGCGACACAGAAAAATTCTAATCAGTCTGTCGCGTTAGGCGCCAAGAAATTTTGAAGTATGAACTGTCACTCGAAGCGATTACGGTAAAGATTTTTTTTTTTTGCAGAACCTTCGACTGAGGTGGTCTGCCCTCGCCGCTTTTGGCTTGTACACAAGAGCTCATAAGCCGCTGTCTACATCAACGTAAGAATGTTTACACAATTCACTCTTTCAAAAACGACAGCACACAATTCTTACTGCTCTCCAAATATCATTTGCGTGAATACAAGAAAATATAGATGGGTGGTGAATGTAACACGAATGGGGGATATGAGAAATGCATACAAAATGTTGGTCTGAAAACTCGAATGGAAAGGACAATTTGAATATCCCAAGCGTAGACGGAAGAAAATATTAGGACATGTTTAAGAGAAACAGAATTTTGGGGTGTGGACTTCATTCGCATGGTTCAGAACAAGCGCCTGTGATAGGCTGTTATGAATACGGCACTGAATCTTCGGGTTCTATATCATCATCATCATCATCA